CGGACGCCCTCGAGCTTGAGCTCCTGCTTGACTTACCCCCGCGCCACACGGTGACGGCGCGGCCTACGAGCGCGAGGGAGGACCTCAAGGGCCTCGAGCAGTGCCGTTGTGCCCTTCTGGACAACTCCTTCCAGTGCTGCGTGATCGCCTGGCTGATGGCGCACTGGGCCGCGTCCGCAGGCTACCTCCAGGAGGTGCCGACCGCGGAGACCATGAGGTTCACAGGGGGCGCCTACACCATCGCGGAGGGCGACGTGGTCATGGAGGGCGACTTCCGCGTGCGCGACGACGGCGAGCAGGAGGCGCCCAATGACGAGGTCGAGTACGATAGCATGGGTAAGGGCGTCCAGACAGCGGGACCTGATGAGCCGTGAGACCGTGCTGGACCCGTCGGTCGTGCTGATCGAGGAGCTGGCGAGGAGGGCGGAGACGCGCGGGAGCGACGTGCGGCTCGACGCCCTGGAGAGCATGTCCCCGCTGGCCTGGCCCAGGCGCCCAGCGTCGGCGGCCCGCTGGGCGCGGCAGACCGGCGTCGTGGCGCTGGGCCCGCCCCTCGCACATCACGGATTTGGAGGTGCGGAGTTGCCTGGGAGCACTGCAGCGGCGGTCACGGCAGGCCCAGCACCTTCGCACTCGTTTTGTGCCGTTGATGGATAGTCAAGTCGGCATCGGAGTCGTCGCGAAGGGGGGGTCCTCCTCGCATGTGCTGAAAGTGTTGGTGAAGAGGATATGCGCGCTAGTGCTGGCTAGTCTGTGCAGGCCAGTATATGGATATTCAGAGACGGACCGCAACCCTGCGGATGCTCCATCGCGTAGGGCCGACGACGAGAAGGCTCATGGTTAGCCGACGCCCACGGAGATTCGCGGCCTTGGCCAGCCAGCAGGACCGCAGGGATGCTCGAAGACAAGTCGGGCCCCTTTCACACACACACACACACACACACACACACACACACTGATTCAGCCAGTGACTCTACAGAGATACCGCAGTGCAGTTGCAAATGTTTCGAAGTGGCTCGCCCTCAGAGGTGAACGAGCGAGCACCAACATCGACGATCTTGACTTTCAGATTGCAGAATGGATCGAGTACTTGTGGTCCGACGGTCATGGTGCAAATGAAGCTGCAGATGCTCTCTCTGGGCTGCAGTGTCTACTTCGACGCCGTCGAATTCTTCCAGCTTCATGGAACTTGTTCGGAGCTTGGCGACGTATCGAGTTACCACATCGCGTGCCACCGTTGCCGCTCAATCTTCTCCTGGCGATGGCATGTGTTGCCAGGTACTGGTGCCGCAACGACATCGCGCTTCTGCTGGTCCTCGGCATCAGCGGCTTTTTGAGGACCACGGAGATGGTTTCGCTTTGCCGCTGGCAAATCCAGGTCGCGCTGGATCGCTCAAGTGTGGTGATCCTTTTCCCGATCACGAAGAGCGGCCTGCGGCGGCACGTAGAGGAGTCGGTCGACATCTCAGACCGAGGCGTCGCTCATTTTTGCGAACATCTGGTGGGCCACCTGCAACCGGAGATCAGGTGCTGCAGGGACCCGTCGCCAATTCCAGACTGGTCTTCGACAGCCTTCTCGACGGCTTGGGCGTTCGCCATCTAGGCTTTCGCCTCTATTCCCTCCGCCGAGGGGACGCCACGCATTTTTACCGTTTGTCGCATATATAATATATATTATATATATATATATATATATATATATATATATATATATATACCTATATATCGCAGAGGGCGTGCAAGTGCTGCTGAAGTGCATATCTGACGCGTCCCAGCAGCAGCGGTCTGCAGTGTTGGCCCAGACACTTGGGGCAGATATAAATTAAGCAGGGCGACCGCTTATCTATAACACGCTATCGAACATGAATAACAGAAGGTGCTTGCGAGTCGCCCTGCAAGCAGTGGGGCAGAGACCCCTCCGTCTGTGTGCGCACAGCTAAGGGGACGGGAGGGGCCAGAGTGGGGTGCATGGAACAGCGTGACCCCGCCCAGGGGGGGGTCGTCTTTGGCGGCCCGTTGCTCGTCGCCCTTGGACCAGTTTCGGCGTAGAGCCTTGGTCTAAGGGGGATGGCACGTGGCGGGAAGGACGGACTCCCCTGGGCGTGGCCATGCCCCCATCGAGGGAGGCGTGGCGTGGCCCTCGCGGTCAATGGGCCCGAGGGGGTCTCCGCGGGGCGGCGCCCCCGTGCCGGCAGGCCCTCGGCGAGGCGCAGCTTCGGTTCGGGCGCCCCCCTGGGGTCCTTGGTGCTCTAGGGCTCTCGGTGAGGCGCTGCTGTGGGTGAGCTACAGTTGGCCCTCTGTGGGCTCGGAGGGGCCTGGGGCTCTCGGCGGGGGGCTGGGCTGTGCTGCCGTCCGACGGGCCCGCCCCTGTGCTGGCGCCGTCCGCGGTGGTGCCTCGACTGGGCACCTCATAGAGCCCTGGTGTGAGAGAAAAAAGGGAGTTGAGAGGAGGGTTGAGGGCACACACACATAAATATATATACATATACATATACCTATCTATATATCTATCTGCCTCTCGCTCTCTCTCTCTCTCTCTCTCTCTCTCTCTCAATCCACCTTCCACACCGCCGTGCAGGCTACACTGGAGGAGAATTCACCAGATGGGCCCCCCACCAGCGATGACGCAAGGGGGGTTGGCTCAGGGGGGGATGCATCAACCCCCAGTCGCCCATTCATCGCCGATAGGGGCCTGGCAGCCCCACCCTGCGCAGGAACGTTCAGACTCGCTACTGGGGGCCTACCGCGGATGTATCGGCAGGCGATGTAGTGCCGATTCCAGGTCGATGTTTCCCCCCTGTGAGCTGGTCCCCCTAATGTTGCCCGCCATCGATCGAGAAAAGCGGCAGTGGCGTCCTGTTCGGGAGGGGGAACCCAGGACCCCCTTCCCAGAGATCCAACGCAATGATAAACTCAATGCCCTCGCTACCCTGGGACCGTCAAGAAGCGACTCAGGTTGAAGAGCTGGTCCCGAGGAGAGGATCGAAACTTCTGGGGAGCCCGCACTGAAAAACAGTACATCGGATGCCTGGGCTCGGTCAGGAGAAGCGGCATGGGCATCCTCTCGTTCGAGAAAGAAGCCGGGCCCCCCCGTGAAAGGGCCACGGAGGCGGGAGGTTTTTCGAAGGCTTTCGTTGGTTCCTGAAGGCTTCCTCGCCTCGGGAGGCTTCCCGGCGGCTGGGAATCGCGCCGAGCGCTCTGGGGGTGCCCGAATCGTCCCGAACGGCCGCCCGAGGCCCAAGGTATGACCCCAAAGCCGGACCCCCTGCAGCCATTTCAAAAAAAAAAAACGGCTGGATGTCTTGGATCAACTTCGGCCCCGGGAGGCCCTCGCCCGGCGCCGGCGACCAGCAAAAAATTGCTCGGGATGGGAAGCCGGTCCCCGGGAAGGGGTCCAGACCTCTTGGGCGCCAGCATGTTGGAAGGATCTTGACGTCGGGGGTCTGGGGAGATGGGAGCGGGCAGCAGGATTGATTGTGGGGCAGAGATCCGGGTGGCCATACGCGAGGCAGGGCCAAGGCGTCCCGAACCGCAGCTCCACCGAGCCACCCAGGGGACCACGCGAAGTTCCCTTTCCACAGCTGGCAAGCTCACAGACGTTTCACGCGCCTTGGACTGCTCTGATATCCGAGCTTGGGACGCTACTAGACGTAAAATTGCTCCGACATGAGCAGATCGTGAGACTGCTTCGACCTGAGCAGGTCGTAAAACTGCCTCGACCAATACAGCACCGCATCCGAAACAGAACATGGCCCCAAGCATAATGTGATAGTTTTCTTTTTCGTTGTTTTGTCGATCGGCGCGGGCCCTCGGTCCCCCCTCCCCCCACCTGCAGTAGATCTTGGCTGTTTGTGGTCGCCTGTTTCGAGCAGGTGGGGTCCCTCCCCCACTAGCCGCACTGCGGCAAACAGTCGCAGTAAGCAGGGGTCGTGAGCCAAACCCCCCCCCTTCCGCCCAATGTCGAAACGCCGAATAAGAAAACGTTGACAATTGCAACCTCTCGAGGGCCCGCGGGGATCTCTGCGATCTGCGTCAGGCCCCCGTGGCGGGGCCTCCGGCGCCGCCCCTGGCGCGCCAGCGCCGAGCCAAGGAGTCTGCGCGGACCCTCGAAGGCTTGTGCCTGCGTCGATCCCAGGTCCCCGACGCCACGCTTGTCTCCCAGCTCGGGCCCCCCGAAGGCCTCGACCGCTCCCCGGGACCAGCTGCTCCTCCCGAGTCGTTGTTGACGGCCCAGTGGGCCCAGCGAGGACCTTCGCCCTGCGCCGCCAGCTCCCTACCCTGGAGGGGGCAAGAACCGCCCCGCCCCGTGGATCCGCCGGGGGGGGAATGGGCACGTGCTGTCAGAACGGGGGGAGGGCGGGTTGGAGGAAGAGGAGGAGGACGAGGAGGGGGAGGAAGATGGAGCGGGGCGGGATTGGGCAAGCTCGGTCGGCCTCCCAACGCTCCGTCCCCTCCGCGAGCACACCCCGGGGCCCGTCCGCCTCGGCCCTTGCTTCGGCCCGCTCGGGCCCCAGGTCCCCGGACGCGGCCCCCGCGCCCTGCGCGAGCTCCCCGACGAGAAGACGCCAAGCTGCCAAAAGCCTCCCGCGTCCTGAGTTTTCACGGCGCGGGCCCAGAGATCCAGAGTCATGAAAAGATCACGACAGGAGGCTTTTTGCTATTCTCGGCCTTCGGGGCCATCGCCAGGCCTCGGGACCGTCAGGGAACGACTCAAGACGAGAAACCGGTCCTGGGGAATGGGTCGATATTTCGGGAGACCGCGCATTGAAAAAATCACAGCATCAGATCTCTGGGGAGGGGTCCGCATGTTGCGGGGCGGGGGCGAGCTCCTTCGAGGTCGGCTCGGCCTGCTGCGGCCGAGAGGAGGACGCGGAACGGGAAGGAGGAGGAGGATCCTCCTCCTCCTCCTCCGCCGCCTCCTCCTCCTCCTCCTCCTCCTCCTCCTCCTCCTCCTCCTCCTCCTCCTCCTCCTCCCCCTCCTCCTCCTCCTCCTTCCTCCGAGGACGTGCGCGACATGCTGCGGGGCGGGGGCGAGCTGCTCGCGCAGTTGCTCGAGCTGCGGGGCGGCATCGCCGAGGCGGAGCGCCCCGAGGAGGCCCACAGAGAGGGGGAACGAACAACGCCCGACCCCCTGCCTCCTCCTCATCCTCCTCCCTCCTTCCTCCTCCCTCCTTCCTCCTCCCTCCTCTCTCCTCCCTCCCTTCTCCCTCCTCCCTACTCCATTCCCTCCTTCTCCACTCCCTCCTCCCTCCTCCCTCCTGCCCGCCCTGCCCCGAGGAAGAAAAAACAGCACACAGTGGAGGCCCGTACCAAGAAACACCCTGGTTGCCCCCAGGTTGCCCGGGGTTTCTTGGGTTTCGATGTTTTGGCTGTGGAAGGCGTGACACTCCCACACCAAAAATCAATGGACGTCCTGGGGTCTCAGGGATGGGTTTCTTGTGGAAGGTTTCTTGTGGTCGAGCTCGGCGTGCATCGGCGATGCGGCTCAATGTGGGGCCCAATTTTCTCCACGCCGACGTCGTCGATGCATCGCTGACGTCGCCAGTGCACGGCCGATGAATCGGCGACACGGTGAGATCCGCCAACCCCATCTACTCGGACCCCCGCCAGGAGGCCTCTATCATCGAGAAAGTAGACATAGCACACACAGAAACTCCTGGAGCTCCGCGCGGATTTCTCGGATCGGCACTGGGCCCCTCTTTCGGCGTCTCCGGCACCACCCCTGGCGCATTCCGCGCGCCAGGGAGGGGGCTTCAGTGCAGATTCGAGAGATCTGCGCAGAGCTCCAAGAGTTTGTGCCTATGCCATATCTTGCCCTCAGATTTATGTTGTCCCCACCGTACTTACGGACCGCATCCCAGAAGTAATTCCGAGCACCCAGACATGTATCGAAACAGCGTCGAACGAGTATCGCCTCCCAGGGCCCGACATGCGAAAACCCTCCAATTCTGGTGCTCTCTCGGTGCTCGAAGTTCTTTCTGGTGGTCAAGGCTGAAGTAGGCTGGAACACCATAACCCTAGATACGGAACAAGCAGCCCTGTGCGCTTGCCGAGCCACCCCGCCCTGCTCGATCCCTCCCCCGAGACGCGCCCGCCGCAGGGCCTCGCCTGTCCCAGACCCCTGGCGCAGCGTCCCTGCTTCCTGCGTGGACCCCGGGAGGTCTCGATACAGTCCATGCCCCAAGACCAGCCCTTCCCCGAGATCCAACGGAGGTTGTTCCCAATTTTCGGCCTCTAGGGGCCCTCGCCGGGCCCCGGGACCGTCAAAAAGCGGCTCTGGATGAAGAAACAGTCCTGGGGAATGGGTCGAGACTTCCGGGGGCCGCGCATTGAAAAAATCACGGCACCGGATCTCTGGGTTATAGCCCCGAGATATTTTTGGGCGGTCTTGGGGCCCGGCCAGGGCCCCGAGCATCGCTCGGACGGGTGCATTCCTCGGGGGCGGCAAAGAGGGAGGTGATGACTAGGGGGGGGGGGGGGGATATCATGGCGTGGGCCATGACATTTCTTCAGATTTCATGGCGCCTCTTCTTATTGTAGTGGCCTCTGGCCAGTGCCGCCGGTCAGGGGCGCTCCTGATGCTATTGTTGTTGAAATGGACGATGACGACGACAACGGACGACCAACGGTCGACGAGCGGGATAATTACGGCGACGACCGACGAAGGAGTTAACCACGACGAACCGACGACGACGACGACGACGATGACGACGACAACGACGACGACGACGACGACGACGACGACGACGACGACGACGACGACGACGACGACTGACGGCGAACGGCTGCCGACGGCCGACGACCGACGACTGGTGACGGCGACGGGTGGAAGGTTCTTCGTTCATCGCTTTCGCTTCCGAGCAAGACCAAGTCAGGCCGTGCACCTCTGGACTGGCAGCACGCGAGTGAGCGCCTCTTGGGGCCTCTTGGTTCTTGGGGCTTCTTGGGGGCCTTTGGGGCCTCTTGGGGGCCTCTCGGGGTCCTCTTAGGGGCCTCTTAGGGACCTCTTGGGGGCCTCTGGGGGCCCCTTGGGGGCGCCTCGGGGGCATCTTGGGGGCTCTTGGGGTCATCTTGGGCTGGAGGACTAGAAGGGTCCGTTCGGGTTCACCCTCTTGAGGCCATCTTGGGGGCCTCTCGGGGTCGTCTTGGGGGGCCTCCAGGGCTATGTTGGGGCCCTCTTGGACCGTCTTGGCTCCTCTTGGGGGCCTCTTGGGCTGTCTTGGGGCGATCTTGGGGGCCTCTTGGACCGTCTTCGGCGCTTCTAAGACTAAGACGGAAAAGGCGATAATGTTAAAATGCGCCTCTTCTTATTTAATTACGTCCCTGGCCCCCCCGCTGGGCCGCGCACATGCCGCTGGTCATGATTTGCACCCCCCCCTCTTGGACACCCCCCTCTTGGCCGCTCCCTGGTTCCCGGAGACTCGATGCCATGATTTTTCCAATACTTGGTCCCCCGAAGTCTCGACCCATTCCCCAGGACCGGCTTTTCATCCTGAGTCGTTGTTTGACGGTCTCGGGGCTTGGCGAGGGCCCCTAGAGGCCGAAAATTGAGAAAAACCTCCGTCTTGATGTTTTCCGTGGGTTGGATCTCCTGGGCTTGTTCTTGGCAAGGCATCTGGGGCCAGCGTGCGAAGAAAGCACGCGCGCGAAATCGAAAAAAAACGCACGGGGAAGGGACACGTCCGAGCGGTGGCCTGTCCTCTGCCCCAGGACTGGCTTCTCGCCCCAAGCGGCTCTCGGGACGGTCCCCGGGACCCAGCGAGGGCCCCCCCAAGCATGGAGCCGAAAGCGTCCAAACCCAGAGAAACAACGCATTGAAAAAATCAAGACGGAGGCTTTTCTCAATTTTCGGCCTCTGGGGGCCCTCGCCGGGGCCTGGAACCGTCAAAAAAACGGCTCAGGATGAAAAACCAGTCCTGGGGAATGGGTCGAGACTTCCGGGGGCCGCGTATTGATCAAATCACGACATCGGATTTCTGGGAAGAGCTTCCCGAAGTTGATCTGTGCACGACGCGAGGACGTTTAAGTCGGGCATGTCCCTCTACAGGATGAATATTCAAAAAGAGTCAAAAATAGTCCAGGGACGATGATTAGATTATTTCTCACCTGTTTAAATATGTGTTGACTATGTTTGATGTTTCTCCCAAAATCCGCCTGTAGGAGGACATGCCCGACCTAAGAGAACGCCAGGGTCGCCACAGGGCCTCGCCCCAGGGGTGCCCGTGACGAGGGCGGCGCTCCTTGGACATGCAGTGCCCTGTTTTTTTTCAGCTCGCGGTCCCCAGAGGCGGGAACTGAGGGGTGGCAGGTTCTTCTCTCTCTCCTCTCTCTCTCTCTCTCTCTCTTTCTGTGCCTTCCCCGCTCTCGTGCACGCCGTGCTTCGCGAAACGTCCAAGAACGGCCCCGGAGCCGGTGCTCATCCCGAGTCGTTCTGTCGGCGGTCCCAGGGGCGCGGCGTGGACCTCCCGTGGGGCCGAGAACGGCCAAGACTTACACCTTTCATCGTGATTTCTCATCGACACGAATACGTCAGGGTCACGAAAAGGGCCTCGCCTGTAGGTTAGGATAGGTTGGGATGCAACTCCTGGTATAACCCCGTGGTCGAAAGCTGGCACAATCAGGCAGAATCCCTTTTGAGGCTTAATCTCGATTGAGTGTGGCTCAATCCTGAGCTTAGTCTGGGCAGATCTCAGTCGGGCCTGATCGCTGTCATCCTCATCACAAAGCCCTCCCAGGAGGCTTGCCTCCCAACCAAAGGGCCTCGCCTGCCCGGGTGCCTGCGATGAGGGTGGCCCTGGCTCAAGCTCGGCATCGGTCTCGAGCTTACGCTCGGGATCGGGACCAGGCCCCAGCTCGAGCTCGGGACCGGGCCCCAGGAGGAGGAGGAGGAGGAGGAGGAGGAGGAGGAGGAGGAGGAGGAGGAGGAGGAGGAGGAGGAGAGGAGGAGGGGGAGGAGGGGGAGGAGGGAGGAAGGAGGAGGAGGAGGAGGAGGGAGGAGGAGGAGGAGGAGGAGGAGGAGGGGGAGGAGGGGAGGAGGGGGAGGAGGAGGAGGAGGAGGAGGAGGAGGAGGAGGAGGAGGGGACGAGGAGGAGGCGAAGGAGGAGGAGGAGAAGGAGCTTACGCTCGGGATCGGGCTCGAGCTCGGGATCGGTCTCGGGCGCGGGCTTAGATTCGGTCTCGGCCTCGGGCTCTGGACGCGTGCTTGCTGCTCGAGCTCGGCATCGGTCTCGAGCTGAGAGTCTCGGGCCCGGGCCCAGCGCGGGTTCGGACCCTGGCCCGGGCTCGCGCTCGGGCTCCCCGGGCTCCTACACGGGCGGGGGCGCGGGGCCCCCGCCCTCCTTCGCAGGCGGGCTCCGGCCTGCCCGCCTCGCGGCGCGCCGCCACCGACCCGGAGGCGGTGCGACGCCGCCTGCGCGTGCTGGACCGTGAGGTGCGCCGCCGCCGTGGCAAGATCCCCGCGGTGCCGAGCGAGGCCGGCGGCTCCCCGACGGCGACGGCCCCGGCGAGCCAGGGGTTCGAACCAGGGGGGGGGGCCGTCACCACAGCTTCCATTCGGCGCAAAGTGCACCCTGAAAATATGTTGGAAATGGGCCTTCCAGAAGTTGGAGATTGGGCTCGCGCGTGCATGGCAGGCTCGTGCGGGCAGCGCGCGCTGCCGAATCGCACGGCCCCAGAAGGAGGGAGTCAGGAGCACAGAAAGGGGGGGGGCCCTTGGGCGCCACCGCCGGCGCTGGCGCCGTCGGGCAGCGACGACGACGACGACGACGACGACGACGACGACGGCGACGGCGATGGCGACGGCGGCGGCGATGGCGACGGCGACGGCGACGGCTGACGGCGACGGCCCGGGTGGGCCGGAGAAGGAAACCCAGACCACTTCGATGAAAAAAACACGACGGGGAGCTTTTTGCAATTCTCGGGCTCTGGGGGCCCTCGCTGCCCAGGGCCGTCAAAAAACGATTCGGGATGGGAAGCTGGTCCCGTGGAGTGCGTCGAGACTTCCAGGACCCCGCACTGAAAGAAGCACAGCATCGGGTCTTTGGGAAAGGTACCGATACCGCCCTTCCCTTGAGGTCTGGGCGGTGCGATGCTTTCAAGCCCGGCGTTCTCGCCTGCTTTCGGGTCCCTGGGCCATCGCAGATCGGTCTGGCTCGGAAGATGCAGCAGAAAGATGGGACCCAGGGTTCCAGTCATGATTTCTCGCGCCGTTGTCGTTTCCGCAACGTCGGATCCCAGGGCCCCTCGATCTCGCCTTTCGGGGGGGTTTCCTGGGAGGCTTTACTCGCCACGGCGGGGCTCGCCTCGCACTTCTGGTCAGAATGCGCACCCTGAGAGAGGTCCAGGGCTCCTCCTGCTCCTCCTCCTCCTCCACCTCCTCCTCCTCCCCCTGCTCCTGCTCCTCCTCCTCCTCCTCCTCCTCCTCCTCCTCCTGCTCCTGCTCCTCCTCCTCCTCTCCTTCTCTCCTCCTCCTCCTCTTCCTCCTCCTCCTCCTCCTCCTCTCCTCCCTCCTCTCCTCATGCTCCTCCTACTCCTCCCTTCTCCTCCTCATCCTCCTCCTCCTCCTCCTCCTGCTACTCCTCCTCCTCCTCCTCCTCCTCCCTCCTCCTCCTCCTCCTCCTCCTCCTCCTCCTCCTCCTCCTCCTTCTGCTCCTCCTGCTCCTCCTGCTCCTCCTCCTTCTCCTCCTCCTCCTGCTTCTCCTGCTTCTCCTCCTCCTTCTCTTTCTCCTCCTCCTCCTCCTCCTCCTACGCAATGGATTTGCCCTTGAGAAGAAAGCATCTTATTCGATACCAGGGAGAGCTCACATCGAAGACCCTGTATCGGAGCAGTGGGTTGTTATGAGCACGTTAGTCCGCAGGCTCAGGAAGTTCGTCATCATGCAGTTAGACTGGAGCCAGCAATGCAAACTTATTCAGCGGATTGGTTCCTTGAGTGCAGTCACTCTATCGGGCAATTATGATGAATACTTCAGCAGGGCTGGAGGACCAGATCGACAACGATGGCAAGATATGATCACGCAGTTACGGGCAGCCTCTACAGCAGAATGGAGGCAGGTTTTCGAGCAGTCAGGCGACATGCAGGAGTCCAATGGCAGCGGCTTGGACTCAGGAGTTGCCAAGCTCATCGGCAGGACCCCGAGCTACCAGTGCTTCCAATACACTGAGCTGGCATACGGGACCTCCACGTCGGAGATGCGGGACTTCCTTGCACATCAGGTTGAGGCTGCTCGCCACAATTCTCTCATGTCCGCACCCTCCCAGGAGCCCCCAGGCCCAGGACGTTCTCGCCAGGGCAGGCATCCAGAGAGGCTGTCTGAAAGGAACACAGGGAATGATGAGGTCCTCACTCGCCCTCATGTTGAGGAGGACGTCTTTGTGACTGGCAATTGCAATTTTGCTCAGGCAGCTGCCACCACACTTGATATGGATATTGATCCGTTCGAGCACATCAATGAAGAGCCACCTGATACCACTCAGGGACACAGTTCTGAGGATCAGAACGACACCCTACACAACGAGGCCACGGCGACCTCGACGGACTTCCTAGACGAACTGGAACAAATCACGGAGCAGTTGCATGCCAGAGCCCAGGCAAGGGCGATTGGCAAAGGACAACAGAAGTTTCTGTCCTGGGTGCGTACGACTTGGATGAAGTCACCTGGACAACTCCATAACCACGTCAAGGACAAGCCTGTGGACACGCAGGAGGTTGATGGCATGGCGGACCCGTTCAAAGTTATGAATGCCAGACAGCGTTCTTGGCAGCAGATATGGACAGATAAAGTAGACACGATGGCGGGCATCATGGATAGCATCTCCCAGTGCCACGAGAGAGCGAGGGTCGAAGAGTTTCCACCTCTGGCTCTTCAAGATCTAGATACGGCGCTGGCTAGGATGTCGGCCAACGAAGCAAAAGGAGTGGACAACATCAGTGTAAATGATACCGTCAGATTGCCAATTGGTGGAAGAAACAGATTGGTGGAGCTACTTAACGACATCGAGAATACATGTACATGGCCCAGACAGCTGCACGCCACAGTGGGCGCCCTATGCGCGAAGCCGCGTGGCGGGGATAGAGTTCTGGGATTACTACCTACGACTTGCAAGGTATGGAGTCAAGCACGTTCAGGGCCAGCGATGGAGTGGTCGAATGGGCTAAGTGCATTCTGGGACACGGCGCTCAGAGGTTCATCGGCATTAAGGGCGGCCATGGTCAGGTCGCTGCTAGACGAAGTGGGATTTGTGAACGGCAAACACTTTGTTACTCTTCTGTTAGACTTGGAAAAGTTCTACGACAGTGTATACATGTGCAAGCTTATCAATATTGCAGCCAAGGTCGGCGACCCCTCCATTATCGTGCTACTGGAAGTGGAAATGTGCATTGCGCCGAGGTTCCTCAAGCTAAAGGAATGGGTCAGTGACAAGATAGAGGTCTCACGCTCGCTAGAAGCAGGTAGCCCGAGAGGCGTTCAATTGGCCAAAGTATTCGTACATCCAATCCTGGAGCGCGCGCACAGGGTGTCACCACAGGCAATGTTATCCACGTACATAGAGGACACGATAGCCAGGGCTGAGCACGACACAGAGGAGGAGGTCGCTTCACAGATGATCCTGGCCGGCAGAGAATTCCAGGAGGCCTTAAAGGAGGCGAGGTTGGTGATCTCGGACAAGGAAGACCCCATAGCGTCCTCCAATCATTTAGGCATGCGAGTGGCTAAAGTATTGAAGAACCTTGGCATCCCAGCATATTACAAAGCTTCGGCCACGGATTTAGGCATCGACGTCCGCGCAGGAAGGGCACGAGTTTGCAAGAGGGCGAACGAACGAAAGCAGGCGGCTAACAGGAGATATGGACGAGCGCTTAGACTACGACGACTGGGGCCGAGGCCACGCAAGGTTACTAAAGGGTTATGAGTCAACCCTCAGGGACTATGTGGTCATCAAGTTCCAGGCGCGCCCCCCAGCAGGCTCTTGCAAGTCAGAAGGCAGGCGGCTGCCACTATCGCTGGGTTTAAACGTGGTCGCTGCCTCATGTCAGTACTGGAGCTCACGATGGGCGACAAGGACCCAGGACTTGAGTCACCTCGACAGTTGATGTGGGAATGGCTCACATTATGGTTTCAGAGGCCAGAAATACATCGTCCAGTCACTGCAGCGTGGGAAAGTATCCTCAATCACATCCCAGTGCAGGGCAAGGTACGCTGGCGTCGAGTCAAAGGACCAGCTGCAGCTATCATCGGCACCTTGCTGGAAGGAGGATGGACATGTCCTAGTCCTACTCATTGGACACGGAGTACTTCAGACGGAGAAGTGGATTGGCGATTTCCTCAGTTTGGCACTGCAGAGTTCGGCCAGGTCGATATCACGCAGATCGTTGAAGAGTTCGTTTCAGATTTACGACGTCAACTATGGAAAAATGCCGCCAAGTTCGAAGGAGGAACGTATGATTTGGAGCATGGTGCAGATTTCAGTCAGATATCCAGCGAGCTTCACGAGTACGAAAGGGATGACGACATGGAGAATTGGGGTCTCACCCTCACTGCGGTCACTGGAGGTCAGTGGACGAGAGAGCGTCAACGGGCACAAGGATACGCACTAGAATTGATTTGTAGGCGCTGCCGCTCAACGCCAGAAACGCTGCTCCACAGGATGTGGGAGTGTCCAGCGAACTGTGGACATGGGGATTCTGCAAAGAGCGATGCTCTCATCCCACGTGCGATTGCCAGTCACCAATTAGAACCCAGTCGTTGGCTACGAGGGGGCCCCCCCGAAAAGCTCACTGCCCCGTCGTGCGATGATGGGTTGTGTGTTTCCCAAGGGCTGCTTCTCATGGGGGGCCCCAGGGCCTCGCGTGGCCGTGCTAACTCAGGAGATTCAGTCGTTTTCGGAGATGGCTCGGGTGGGCGGTTTTCGAGCGACCCTCGTCGGCGCAGGTGCGGAGCGGGGGTTGCCATCCTGGAGCCTGCGTCGGGGAAACCTCTGGAGTGGCCCCTGGCCTGGGGCGCCTCCGCCCCACCTGTCGGAGAGAAACAAACCGTCCCCTGAGCAGAGCTGCTAGCGTTTTGCATGGCGCTCGAACTGACACCGGGGCCCCTCCAACACATTACTGACCACCTTCCCCTCTCCAAGGCCTGGGGGTCAGGCCGAGGGTAGAGGGAGGCCCCGAAAGAATAGAAGCGAGATTTGTGGATCAGAATTCGTTTAGCAGCGGCCAGCCGAGGCGAAGGTGTCTCCGTGCGTTGGACGGCCTCTCATCTGGAGGATGAGGAGGAGGCACCCAGACTGTGCAGCAGCTCTACTGGTCCATCGGCAATGCGGCGGCTGACGGGTTCGCGTCGCAAGCTGCTGAGAGAGGTTGGGAGTTAGCCACTGCGCATGGTCAACTGCCTCGCACTGACGAGGTGGATGTCGTTGCTCGGCTGGTTCGGAGAAGGGCGCGCAGAGCGCTCCAGGACACTGCAGCTGTTGATCCTTGGGCTGGGGAGTGGACGCCGCCACCAGCCCCACGCCTCAGGGTTTCTCGCAGGAATTGTGCGCTCAGCGCTTCTTCTCAAACCTTTGTTCGAGCTTTGGGTGGCAGGTGGAGGTGTCAGGTCTGCAGTGAAATCACCACGAGCACCAGTCTCGAGCAGGCTTGCGGCCGCCCATGCACACACATACCCGCACACCTGGCGGCGACTACGCCGAACATGGCTGGGGTCTCGGTGAGTCGTGTCGTCGGGGAGGTGTGGGTTGGGAACAGAAAAGTAGACCCCAGCCACCAGGTCTGGAAATGGTCTTCAGACAATATTTTATTTTGTATGGTTTGCGGCTCCACTGCCAGTATTGATGACAGGCACCTCCAGAAGGTATGCCCGCCCCAGAGGTGCAAGAAAGGTTAGCAGAACCTAGTCCGCATTGCTCAAGGTCGCCACCCATGCCCACGAGGGGCCCCAGAGGCGACCAGGCGAGCATTAGAACTGTCCATTTGATCGCCCAGGCGACGCAGAGGCTTGTGATTCTCTTGCGCGTCCTGGGCTCCATATCTTGAGTGAGTGCAGGGGCCTGGAGCCTCCTGCGCCTTGGCCTGCGCGGAGGCTCGTGCTCCTCCTGCACAGGCTTGCTGCCCTGGACGTGCGAAGGTTCGTGCTCCTTCGGCACTCCAGGGGCCTTGCGGGTAGGGACGAGGTCCCCATGGGTCACTCCTGGTCACTCCTCCTCCTCATCCTCCTCCTCCTCCTCCTCCTCCTCCTCCTCCTCCTCCTCCTACTCCTACTCCTACTCCTACTCCTACTCCTACTCCTACTCCTACTCCTACTCCGCCGCCGCCGCTGCCGCCGCCGCCGCCCCCTCCTCCTCCTCCTCCTCCTCCTCCTCCTCCTCCGCCTCTCTCCTCCTCCTCCTCCTCTCCTCCTCCTCCTCCTCCTCCTCCTCCTCCTCCTCCTCCGCCTCCTCCGCCTCCTCCGCCTCCTCTTCCTCTTCCTCCTCCACTTTCCCCCAAGGTGCAGCACCAGCGCTCCCTGGAGAGCCAACAGGTGCAGCACCAGGGCTCCCTGGAGAGCACGGTGTCCCGGCAGCCGAGCGGCCAGGAGGCCGGGCACGAAGTCGGGCGGCTGCACACCGGGGGAAGCACCGCGGTCAGCTCGCTGCACACTGTGGGCACGGCGAGCTCGATAAACGACGACGTCATGGCCGTCGTGGTCGCGTTCGCCGAGTTCGTGCCGCCAGCGTCCAGCGACACGCAGATGTTGTCGTTAAAGCCGGGCGACGTAATCACCGCTCTGGGCCAGGAGGCGCAGGGCTGGTGGTACGGCAGAAAGGACGACGGCTCCGAGGGGTGGTTCCCGCCGTCGTACGTGAAGCTGAGGGAGGCCGCCAACGTGGCTCCGACCCTCTCCGCCCACTCCGCCCAGTCGGGGGCACTGACGCTGGGGCCGTGAGGACCAGCCCAGCGGCGCGCCTGTCCTGAGGGGTGGAGGAGGAGGAGGAGGAAAACCAGCCCAGCGGCGGGGTCCCCAGAGGGTAGCGAAGCTGCGAGAGCCGCCATGGCCAGCGCCGCGGTGCCGCGAACGTGCGGCCACGGTGGGCCTCGGCGGCTCGCCTCTGCTCCTCTGCCGCCTCGCGCCGCTCTCCTCCCGCCTCCCCCGCCGCTCGGAGGAGGGCCCGTCGAGACGGTAGCGGCTCTCCCGCCGGGCCTGCCTCCGCTCAGAGTCGGGAGTCGGTCCTCTAGGCCTCCCAGGTGGGGTCCGAGCAGATGGGGTCGGAAGATCGCGGCGCATCGCCGATGCATCGCCGCTGCATCGCCGATGCGGCTCGATGTGGAGCCCGATTTTCTCCAAGCCGATGCGGCGCGATCCTCCGACCCCATCTAGTCGGACCCCGTCTAGGAGGCTGCTGGGTCCACGGGCCCCTCCCAGAGTCTATCCTGGGCCGTTGTTCGCAGCGGATCCAGCCGTGGCGACGAATGGCTTCCAGCAGGCCCCAGCGAGGACGATCCGCGCCAGGGAGGGTCGCGCTTGTCTCGACCTGCGCTCCTAGGACCCTCTCCTTCACCGTCCACGTCTCTGCCCCCCACTCCTATACGCCTTTTCTTTCCTCCCCGCTCACCCTGCCTTGCGAGGGGCGGCGGTCTGCTTCTGCTCCCGGGCCGACTGGGCAGAAATCGCACAGCGCGCCGGCGGAGGAAAAAGAGCCTTATTCCCAGAAGTCCCTCCTCATGCGGTCGGGCCCTCCCCCCTGACGCGCTAGAAAATCCCAGAAGAAGCTTTATGATGCAACTCCTGAGAAGTTTAATTCAGCAACAGCGCTGGTATCTCCGTAGTCGAGAATCGGTTTAATTCCCCGCACAATCTGGCTCAATCTAGCTCGACATTCGGTTTAGTCTGGCTTGCAAAATGTCCCACGAAGACCTCTTAGCGCTTGCCTCCTAATATCATATTGGCATCTCTCCGAGAGTGCGCACCTTTTCTCGGCGAGGGCCATCGAGAAGCATCCTCGATGATCTTGCGAGAGTAGACGCGCGAGGCCGATGTTGGCACGAGGAACGGACGTCCGAGCGACGGCCAGTTCCGGAGGGCCCTGGAGTCCCGTCGTCGGGAGCAGGGCCGCGAGCGTGCGAGCGCCTTCGATCCGCTGGGTGGGAGCGCGCGCCGCTCCCCGTAGCCAGCTGCGCTGGCGCTGGTTCTTCCGCTCGCGCGCGGCTCGTGTTTGTTCCCCCTCGCCGGGGCCATGTCGATCCGATTCGACATCGATTCGACATCGATTCTGGCCGGCCGGGTCCGATGCGATTCGATTCCGAGACTCCGACGATCCGATGCGGCCCGATGACTGCATGGCGTTGGTGTGCATCCTGGCGCAGCCGATTCGATGCTGGCTGATCCTGCCCGCGCCAGGTCGCCGGAAACGAGACCGTGCGCGAGCGCTTTCCGTTCGCTGGGGAGGGCACGCGCCAGTCCCAGTATCAAATCACGCGTTACCGTCGGTTCTTATGTTAGCGGAGGAGGGGTGGGGATGGGCGGAGCCCGCTGACTCGCTCGAATTGGCTGTGCTGACCAGTACTCCATCTCCTCATCCTCATCCTGATAGGGGCCTCCTGACGCCTTTCCCCACCCTCCTCGCCCTGTTCCGTCTCCCTCCTCCCCGTACTCAGTGACCACCCCTCCTGGAACCTCCTCCTCGTCGAGGGAGGGTCAAGCCGCCGTCCCCGAGGGGGAACACCAGGCAAGTCGCGTTCTCGCCCGTGCAGCACGGTCCAGTCATGAGGGCAGGGGGGAAACGGTTCCAGGAGGATGAGGAGGACAGCAGCAGCAGCAGCAGCAGCAGCAGCAGCAGCAGCAGCAGCAGCAGCGGAGGCAGTTGCATCGTGAGCAGGCTGCACAAGCTGGGTCGCACGCAGGGGCGCGATGGCGACCGCACCTCGCTCCTTGCGCGGCGCGAGGCGCGCGCTCGGAAGACTCAGGCGGGCGGTGGGGGGCCCGCGAGGTGATGACAAAGACCCTCATCGAGCGCAAAATGCCCTTCCTGGACTGGAAGGACGTCCCTCAGGACCTGCCTCTGCCTCTGGTCCTGGAGGGCGATGGCGAAGCGGAGGGGGATGAGAGGGGAGCGGCAAGAGGTCTAGCAGAGGGAGGCGGACGAGGAGGAAGAGAGAAGATCGCCTGCCAGGTCCTCAAGAACTGCATCGGCATGTCCAGGGCTCTGGGAGGTTCTGAGGCGTCCAGAACGAAGGTCGGGGGCAGGTGCTGGAGGCGGCGGAGGACGAAGGTGACGGCGAGGAGGTCGACGGCGACGAGGCGGAAGAGCGCGAGGAGGATGAGCAGGAGGAAGGAGGAGCAGCAGGAGGGAGGAGGAGGACGGAGGCGCAGGAGGAGGAGGAGGAGGAGGACGACGGAGGACGACGGAGGCGGAGGCGGAGGAGGAGAAGGAGGAGGAGGATTTCACAGCCTGGGCCTGCCTCCCAACCGCTCTCTGGAACGGGAGGACAGGCAGCACAAGAAAAGAGGTCCTCCAAGTGGGAGGGGTCGTCGCACGTCACCCCGAAACCGAGCCATCGCCCTCCGCACCTGGATCAAGCAGCAGGGAGCTTCCCCGAGCTCAGCTCGGGTAGGGGGCGAGGAGGAGGAGGAGGAGGAGGAGGAGGAGGAGGAGGAGGGGGAGGGGGGGAGGGGGAGGAGAAGGAGGAGGAGAGGGGTGGGAAACCCACGGGTCCCTAGCAGGCTCACGAGCCCGAGCCCCTGGCAAGCCCACCTCGTCCCTGGGGTCCAGCAACGCCGGCCAGGGGTCGGGGTCCCCAGGGACGCAGACCAGGACCGACCGACAGAGGCTCCACATGAGCCGTGGGAGGGGCACCAGACTGGGCTCGAGGGCGGTCAAAACGGGCATCCTTGGGTCCCTTGGTTCTGAATCCAGCAAAATCTAAGGCTACATCAGCACTATCCTCCGCAGTGCTGTTAGCATAGGGGCCAGAAGCCTGAAAACATAGACGCAGCTCGGCAGGTAGATCCCTGGAATCAAGCTCATCCATGCCACGTAGACGGTACGCTTCATTCACAAATCGGGCAACTTCACCGGCCCTGACTGCATCAGGGCCCTGGAGGAGGAAGCGGAGGAGGAGGAGGAGGAGGAGGAGGAGCGGGAGGCGAACGAGCGGAGGCATTGTCGTGCCGCCCTTCCGTCGCTGCCCCCTCGTCTCATCCGTGACACCCCCTTCGTCGCCCCCCCCCCCGCCCTCGTCCGCCCTCCTCCACCCTCCTCCGCCTCCTCCTCCTCCTCCTTCTCCTCCTCTCCCTCCTCCTCCTCTCCTCCTCCTCCTCCTCCTCCTCCTCCTCCTCCTCCTCCTCCTCCTCCTCCTCCTCCTCCTCCTCCCCCTTCCCCCCCGAAGGACCTCAAGGTCCTCGCGGAGCGCTGCTTCGAGTTCCAGCCGCAGCGCCGCATCGACGCGCCCAGCCTGCTGGAGGCGGCCTTGGCCGCGCCTCCCGCGCCTCTTCTCGGGCACGCGCAGAGGGGGGGTTTGGGGGGGGGGAAGGCTACGCTGCTTTACCACCCAACTTCGTGGCATCCACAGAGGTGCCATCATCAGGCCAGAGCGAGCCTGGCAGGCCATCCCCACTGTGAGGTGGCAGCTCCGTCGTGCATGGCGTCGGTGAGGATCTTAGAAGCACTCCTGCTTCTTAGAAGGCGCGGGCCTTCCTTCTCTACAGATGCAAGGCTGGCGCCTTCTGAGAGGCGGCCTCCTCATAAACGCTGCCCCCCTCCCCTTTGGCCTTTTTCTGCGCGCCGCCAATCCTCCTCACCATCACCAGAATCATTCGCCTCCTCATCATCCTCCTCCTCATCATCATCACCATCCTTGTCTGGAGTTCCCATCGGGGACCAGCCGCTTGAACTACGCGATACATCGAAGACTGGCACGGCAGCACGCAGGAGTGGCACGCACAAGGCGAGAGGTTCATGCGATCATCCAGTGCCGCAGTTTCCTCCTCACCATCCTGCCTCTTCCCTTGATCCTCATCCATCCCCTTTCCCCTTCCTCATCCCCTTCCTCCTCCAAAAGCGCGCGAAAGAGTGCGGAGAAGAGAAAGAAGGACCGACAGGTGCAGTAGGAAGGGGAGGAATACAATCAGTAGCAGCATAGCAGAGTAGCAACAGTATGATTGTAGGGGTGGGAGCAGGAGCAGGAGCAGAGATCGAGTGAGCCAAGTCGACCGAGTATGCGGGTTCCACCCATCTTCCCCCCCTCCCATAACATGATGATCAATGTTGGTGCCACTTGGTATTGGCACACGGGTTCCCAAACGGAAGGCGCTCGCGCGCGGTCCCATTTCCGACGGCCTGGCGAGCGAAAAGGGGATCGAACTCAACAACAAACAAATCAATAGTATTCGCTGTTCGCTGCTCGCATTGCACTCAAGATGCATACCCCGAGCCATCGAGACCCGTCCTCTTCGTCTTCGATCGCACGCCCTGTGGGTGGACATAGCCCTTCCCCGCCACGTGAAGTTGACGCGGGCGGCCCCTGATGCAGCAGGAAGAGGAGGGAGAAAGAGACAAGGGAGAGAGCGAGAGAGCGGGAAGAGGAAACGAGAAAAGAGGGGGGCCAAAGGGAGGGATAAGCATCGGGGAGCGACAAGACTAGCAGGAGGGAAGGGAGAGGAGCAGGAAGACTAGCAGGCGGACCCCTGACGGCCGTACCCGGCGGGCAGACCTAGCGGGCGAGTCGGGCGGGTAGGCCCCAACGGGCGGGCGGAGCGGGCGGGACATCCAAGCAGGCGGGAGGCTTCCAAGCAAACGAGCGGGCGGACCCTAGCGGGCAGGCGACGCAAGGGGGCCCTGACGGGCGGGTCGGGCGGGCGGGCCCTCACGAGCGGCCCCAGCGGGGCATTACAGCGAACGGGCGGGCCTCCAAGCAGGCGAACGGGCGGAACCTAACGGGCGGGCCGGGCGGACGGACCGTAACGGGCGGGTCGGTCGGGCGCGC